GATGTCTTTTCCATGTAAATACTCTAATCCTTGTAAAATTTGTCGGACAAATGATCTAACTAGAGGTTCTTCTAAAGCACCATAGCTGTTAAGAATTGTTGTAACGGATCCTCCAGGTACATATTCCAGGAAAATATTTAATGTTTTCTCGTCATTATCATGTTGAGAGCCTAATGAAAAAAAAAACAATTATGTTCATAATTATGTTTATAAATTGTAATTTTTATTTAATTTTGCAATTTATTGAAAAAAAATCCATACCAAGATATTGAACAATATTTTCATGTTGTAATTCTTTCAAAAGCGTAATTTCTCTTTGTAAAGCATCCAACTATACGAACAAATAATGTATTATTATAAATAAATACCAAATTCGTATAAACATAATAATAATAATTATAAAGTTTTTATGCTAACCATAGATTTTTTACGTTCTTCATTTGCAGAATTTCCACTAGGTAATTCCACTTGTTTAACTGCCATCAACTCGCCAGTAGCTGAATTAAGTCCAAGATATACAGTACCAAAAGAGCCCATACCAATTAAATCACCTTTCATCCATCTAATATTTGAATTCCCTGTATATGTTGTAAATTATTATTTGTTAAAGTTATAATCATAATTAAAAAAAAAAAAGATCATATATATATATAGTTTACCATCTTCTCCATCTTCTTCATCCTCTTCATCTTCCTCTTCAATTTCATCTTCTTCATCTTCTTCGGGTATTAAATCTTCCAAAGTTTCAGACTCCATAGAATCTTCATAATCTGGTTCTTCTGGAATAGATGTTTCATAATCTCCAAGATTCATTGAAGTGCCAAATAGTGTACTCATTCTATTATTGGAATCTTCGAATACTCTAGACATACGTCTAGACCTTGGCCTTGAATTTCTAGAAGCAGAAGAAATCCTCCTTGAAGCTCTTCTAATAGAATTTCTAGCACTACGTTCAAGTTCTTCAGTGGCATGACCAGGGAAATAATCGGTTAAATTTGATGAAATTAATTCGGATGGTGGACGTTGACCAAAGAAACTTCTTAATTTATTATGTGATATTCCAGTTGGCTGTATAGTTGGTGGTTTTTCGCCAAGTATATATTCTAATTTTTTGCGACTCATATTGCGACTCATTTGTTCCTTTTTTTGTTCGTGGCTCATTGGTAGATGTTTCTTTCGTATAGCAAGTCTTTCACGCTCTGGTCTATTAACGTTTGTACAAATATTGACTATCTCTTCGTCGGTCAAACTTCGTGCTGACAATGTCATATTAATTGTATTTTAATATTAATCAGCAAATAAATAAAAAATAAAAAATTTTCATTTTAAATAAAAAAAAAAAAAATATGAAAAAATATATATATATACATACTTGCACCATCGCTATATGTGGCAAATAATGAATATTTTTCAGCATCCTCATTAATATTAAACTTTTGTAAAATACGCGCTAAAATAGATTTTGCGTCTGTGATATTGTTTATAGGAATTGTTCGTGTTTGACCTTCTTCACCATGAACTTTAATACATCTCTGAAACATTATAAACCAGTAATTTAGATTTTTACTTAATTATTAAATGAAATATTTCTACAAGTTACCTGCATGACACTCTCAACTGACATAGGACACTCTACAGATTTTTGCTAAGAATATAAGTAAAATACGATTAAGCTGTTATGGTAAATTCTATATTCTAACTATTAGATTTTGAAAAAAAAATATATATATAATAAACCTTGACATGTGCGGGTGATTTAAAATGATCCTTATTTCCGCGACTAATAGAATTTGATCTCATAGCCATTCGAGGATTTGAATTGGATCTTACTAGTACACGTGAATTTGAATTAGATCTTGAAAGTGTATTTTTAGCTTTTTCATTTTCAGATAAATTATTATCCTAAAAATTAAAATAATATAATATATTCATATCATTTACAATCTATATTTTTTTACATAACTAAAATTTTATATAAATTTAATAATTACTAACCTTAGGATATTTAATTGCCGAATAATTTAAATTATTTCCTGCACATGTCTTTAACAAATTCCTTACTGCTGCTAGAAGTCTAACGCGATCACCGATTGATCTAATATTTAATTCTCTAAGAACTTCATGATCTATTTCTAAAAGCACGTCTCCATTTATATCATTTTCTAATGCAAACCGTATAGATAGATATATATATATATTAATACTTCTGCTTAAACTCATGTTTACAAATAAATGTAATTAAAATTTCAGCAGAATTTTCAATACCCGCAAAAAGTTTTTGATGTTCCTTAAAATTATTTTCTTTTAGCCAATTTGCAACTTGTTCAATGTTCCAGCGTCTAACATTTTCAAAAGTAATACTGTCCATGGTTTTGGTTGAAGGTGATTCTACCAAACAAGTTTGAAAAAGTTGCGTCATATATTTAACTTTAAAGACGAAAAAATAAAAGAATGTGATATCTAATATCCTCTTGGGATGTTAGTTTGAATTTTTAATAACTTGGCGTGTTTGAAATTTTATTAAGTCTTATCGTTAATCTTTGTCTGCAGAAACATTTTAATAAAATTATCATATGATTTTAATTACACAGATCGACGAAATTTCACATTAGGTTTTTAAGTAAATTTTTGTTGAATTTGACCGGAGGCTTTGTCACACACAGGCTCGGGTCTACTACAAATCCAACGATCAACCCTAAGTGGAAGGCGTCGAAAGAGGGCGTGATTCTTGGATTATCCTGGTTTGTTGGTCTTCGAGGTCACGTGGAACGTGATCAAGGTATTTCAGCTTCAGCAGAGGCGGAGTTATTATGCGAAGGAATTTGGATTCTCAAAACTGAGATTTAATCGAACTCGATTTTTTTATTAAAGCATCCCGTATATAGATAATTTTACATATATGAAAATAAGAAATGCTGCAAAGTTGTGAGAAGAGAGAATATTATATCTATCTAAGATATTCAACAGCCTATTAGTAATTATTTTGG